GCTTTTTGTGCTGCTCGCACTGAGTCTTTCTCAGTGATTGCACTTACGGAAACCTGGCTGGACTGTAGTATCTGTGATGCTGAATTTCTTGACTCACGTTACGCGGTTTATCGCTATGATAGGAGCAGTCTAAACAGTGCTAAAAGCCGTGGAGGTGGGGTACTTCTGGCAGTACATAATTGCTTTAAATCTCATCGTCTATCAATTCGTGAAGCATAGGTGGAGGAAACATGGGTGTCAGTGACGCTGGATGACTTAGTCTTCTGTATTGGCTGTGTCTTCATTCCACCTAGCATGGATGTTCCGTATTATGAAAACCACTTGAAATAAGTTGCGAGTGCCTGTGAAATAATTGATAATGTGCTTGTTCTTAGAAATTATAATCTTTCTCAAATAACGTGGTTTACTAGTGAGGATCTCTATGGTTTATCACCTGGAAATGTAAGGTCAACTAAGGAAATATTGTTATGTGATGGTACTGCCTCTCTTAATCTGTCTCGATACCATGGGGTGACTAATGATCATGGTTCAATCCTGGATTTATGCTTTGCCAACTTTGAGCTTGTTTCAATTGTAATATCTGATGGTCTGGTGGGCTGTGGTCGTTGATAAAGCTAAATTTCTGAAGCCTACATATTTCTTTCTATATTTTCTTTCCTTTGATTGGCGATTCATTATGACTAAGGATCTAAACGAAACTATTAATAACTTTTACTTGGTGCTGTTCGACTGTTTTAATATGTTTGTTTCCACAAAGAGACATTGTTACAGTGATGTGATAAATTTCCTATCTGGTTTTCTTACGAACTAAAAAACTGATTTTTCAAAAAAAAATTGAATGGATCATAGGCACTAATGTGAAAGTTTTGTGGAACTTTGTTCATTTCCAATCTAATCAGGGTACTATTACTAAGGAAATGTTTCTGGCGACAAAAATAGCGTCCAACGTGTTGACATAGCTAATCTATTTGGTGTTTATTTGTCCTCTGTCTATAACCCCCAGAGAAATTCCAACGCCAGAATTTTTTCTGATCGATTTGAGAATGTTTCAAGCGTTATCATAGACCGAACCGATATTGAGAGGGCTTTAAAGCAAGTGGACCTCAACAAGTCTGCAGGACCTGATGGTATTCCTAACAAAGTACTAAAAGACTTTGTATCTTCTTCTATTTATTATTATTATCTTTATAGACTAAGACTTTGTATCTTCCTCTATTTATTATTTTTAACAAATCCTCAACCTCTGGTATTTTTCCAGAAATGTGGAAGCTCTCTTATGTTTGTCCTATTCACAAGTCAGGCAGCAAGAATGATGTAACAAACTACAGACCTATCAGCATCGTCTGCAATTCCCCAAATTATTATTGATCAGTGCGTTGAAAATATTCTTTCAAAAATATTTCATCAGATTGTGATCAGTCACCAGCATGGGTTTACAGCCGGTAGATCTGTTGATACGAACCTGTTTCTCTTCGCAAATTTTAAAAATTCATCTTTTGATAATAATGCAGAAACTCATGCAAGATAAACCAACTTCAGTGAAGTTTTTGATAAGGTAAACCATAACATCCTTCTTTCAAAGCTCTCAAAGACCCTTAGTTTCATGGATGAAATCTTACCTTACTAACAGAATGCAACAAGTCAAGATCGATGGGCTATCTTTCTTCTCTTTTCTATGCATCCTCTGGGGTGCCCCAAGGCTCTCACTTGAGCCCCCTTCTATTCACCCTATTTATCAATGATTTAGGATCGTTGCTCTACTCACATTTTTCACTCTTCGCTGATGACTTGAAGTTGTATCGTCAGGTGACGTCAGCTCAAGACATACTTATTCTGCAAAATGATCTTAATATTGTTTATGATTGGCATCAGCTTAATGACATGTTCCTCAACATTGGCACAAGTGCTGTTGTATAAGATTCACTATGGATTCACTAGACTTATAAGGTTCCCTTTCAGTATTGCTTATAGGTGATGTTCGCTTGTCTGAAGTTTCTGTCATTGAAGATCTTGGTGTCTATCTAGATACTAGGTTAATGTTCACCAAACATTTTGAAGTGGTAATTGGCAGGGCTAATAGAACGTTGGTTTTTATTAAGAGAGCTACTAGGGACCTTACAAGTATACGCCTCATCAAAATTCATTACACATCACTGGTCAGATCCGTTCTTGAATTTTCTTGCATAGTTTGGTCACCTTACTATCAGTTCCACATCAATTAGGCTTGAGAGTGTTCAACACAAATTTATCAAGTTTGCTAGGTACAAACTGTCTCTGAGTGGTGTGATTTTCAGCGTTAACCAGACTATGACTTACTTAGACCTAACTACTCTTGTTCGCAGAATGGAATACTTGGATGTCTGTTTTGCTTTTAATATCCTCAACTACTACATAAAAAGCCACGAATGTCTTGGATGCTTTTATCTGCACACTCAAAGTTATCTGCCACGAAGAAAATCTTTACTGCACATTCCTTACTGTCGTACTTAATAGGTACTTACTATTCAGTCCTGTAAATAACATATCTGCCAATGTAAATAAGTTCTATGAGGGTCTTGACTTCTCTATTCACTGTATCAAAAATCATCAAGTCTAAGAGATTTTTTTTACAGAATTGGGTCACCCAAGAAGCAAAAGAAGAAGGAAAACTTTTATTTTTGCATAAATAAAAATAATTCAATTTAATAATTGACCAATTAGATATCCTATTTACTAACTTACTTGTCCGTGTATTGTTTAGTTAGTGTCAGGCATACGCATTATCTATTCATACAGTCATGATTGAGGTAATAAGTAGGTTTAATACTAAAATAATAATTAAGAACGTAACGATTTTTTGTTTACTTCATTGTCCATTTAGGTAGGTAACAATTTGACAAAATTACACAGAGGTTATCGAAGGGGTTTCACACGAAAAATTTAGGTTAAAGCTCCGAAAGACAACGATTCGTATTATTAAAATGATTATCAATAATTATGTGACATTGTCTAATTAGTAATTATGCCTAGATTAGACCTTCAACAACTTTCGAGCATCTTGGACAATACATAAAAAGAATAAGAGAACAATTAAAATTACAATTACAATTAAAGGATGATTTGCGTGTTGATTCAAACAATCAAACTGACAATTTAGCGTGAAACGAATCCAATCTAGTCAATTATAGTGTTTTAAATCGAAATCGTTATGACGACTTACTTTATTACAAATTATGGATTTGCAATTTTTAGGTAATTGCATAGGTATATGAGTGGAATTTTGTAATAAACGTTTAATGCAATAGGCAAGCTAAACTGTGCGGCAATTAACTAGAATTTAATTTTCTTATAAGTATGCTAAACATTGATTTTTCAGGATAGTTTTGAACAGTGAGGTTTTGAACACTTGAATGTGAACAAATGGAAGAAAACCGCATCAAATAGGGCTAGAAGAAAAGAAAATATAATTTTAAATAAAATCTAATTCATCTTTAAGCGGTTAATGAAATAGAGATTTTCCTCAGAAAAAGGCAAATTAAAGAAAGAGCTGCAAGATACTCTCGAGTCTGGGTCTTACGCATCTCTGGCCTTTATCAGTCTTATCATTTCTTTGTTGTTTATCTTTATGTCTTCTCCTTCTCTTGTTTTAGCGCTTCTTCTATACTCCTTTTTGGTTTCCTTCTTTGCTACTTTTTTTCTTGCTTTTGAATGTTATTCATTTGTAGTGCCTATAATTTCCAGTACTATTTGGGCCCGAGACTAGGGTGGAAATGTCCATATTTTCACAAAAACCCTTTTTTCGATGAATCGCAATTATTAGTTTTACCCCCTTAAGCCACCTCCAAAGTAAGTTGCAAGTTAAGTGAGGTTCCCCAAACGATGTATTTTGGTACTGCCTATAATTTCCAGGACTGTTTGTGCCCGAGACTAGCGTGGAAATGTCCATATTTTCACGAAACCCCTTTTTTCGATGATTCGCAATTATTAGTTTTACCCCCTTAAACCACCCTCCAAGTAATTTGCAAGTCAAGTGAGGTTCCCCAAACGGTGGAGATTGGTACTGCCGAAGCGCAACAGTTCCAGTTTTAAGCAATTATGTGAAAGCTGTTCCCTTAATCATCAATGGTACAGGTACCCTCTACAAACACACACCTTCACGCATCTAGCCACCGAGCCTGTGTTTAGAAAAACCGATGGTTATGGAGAACTAGTGAGAGAAGAGGAGGACCTCGAAGATAAACCTCATATTACAGTGTGGCGCAGTATTCATCACCACTCCGCAGCCACCAGCAGCATTACAGCAATAGTCATCACCATAATGGTGATAGCAGGATGGCAGGTAACAAACCTAATCAGCAGAAGACGTCAAAAGCAGCAACCAGATCAACACCAAGACCAAAATAAAGAAATAGAGCTGATGTGTCTACATTCTTCCATTCTGGAGATGCGGCAAAATGTTTACTTAGAACAATTAAACAGTGAGTAACCGTCAATAGCATAATTTGACCGACATCGTATATTTACATTTTTTATTATTTAATTCAATATCACGTTCAGACACTTTGCGCCATCTTCACAAGCTACTAATAACCAATTATTGCTATCTAGTAACTGAATATTCCATTATCCTTTCGCTAGATGGCGTTGCAACAATTTCCTCTATCCACCGAAGAAAAATCAAATATGAAAAGATGTAATTTCTTTAGAGGCGAAATTTACATTTTTCTCAACCATACGAAATCTAAGTAGTGCGATCAAAGGTCAAATTCGGATCGACTTGATTTTTTTTTTCTAGAGGATATGTTTTTTAAAATCTCATCTACCAACAAAAAAGTTCAAATAGCATTTATTTGGATAAACACCTGAAATATCTGAAAATTTACAAATGGGTAAAACAATTATTGAATAAAGAAATTAAATTACCAAACAAAACATACAATTTATTAAACAATTAACACACTAGTAATATAATTAAATTGCACAAATCAAAATTATTATCACAAACTTATTTTTACCCTTATCTACAAATAATAAGCTCCCAACAAAACATCCATTTCTCGTAAACTTTGGGCAAGCTGCATCTTCAAAGTCAAAGCTTCTTGTTCCAAAAAAGTCACCCTTATAGCCAGCTCGTCTTGCTTGGCTTTCCTAGCTTCTCTAGACCTTTTAGCAGCTTCGTTATTCCTTTTCCTCTTCTCCAAATAACCAGAATCGTCGGTTTTGGCTCTGAGAATCCTTTTCATGTTTTCCTTCAAGCTTGAATCAGCTTTGTGCTTCATTTGGCTTAGGCATTGGTGACGGTATTGAGCATAGGCTAATGCTGTATGGTCTCCAGTGTAAAAGCTTTCAGCTACAGCCAATTCCAAAGAGTTTTTTGGTAAGGCTTTGAAAGGACGTGAAATTTTGGAATCGTCACTAGATGTTGGACTGCTTGAAGGACTATCACTAGAATAATTATAACACATTTGTTGAGGAAAATAAACATGGTGAAAAACCCCAAAACTCATTTTTACCAGTAACCGTAACGAAAGACGTTTTGAGACTAACTAAACTTGAACAATATTTGAACTAACCAAAGTTCTACCTGATGGGCTCAATTGCTCTAATAAACATTTTTGTGGATGAACCTATTTTATGTAAAAGCCGGTGTCTGTGAGCTTCTACCGCCTGAAAAGGACACAATGGATTGTAATTATTGTGTTTGCAAACAGTGTTACTGGTTGAATGGGGCGATATGCTAATTTTTGGGTTTTTAGATGTTTGGCGCTGGAGGTGATTGTAAAATTCAAATTTGAGCAATCGTAATCGATAAATTGTCTCCGAACTATTGTAGTTTGGATTAGCTCTATTCTTGCTTTTAAAGTAAAATGTTGAGTTTATTGGTGTAAATTGCTTTATAATATGAAACCATGAAAATGTACCATGTCATATTATGTATATTGGAGTTTTGTTCTGAAAAACAGTAGATTAGGATGAAAAATTGAATGTGCTGAATGCGAATCTAAGGTTTGCCATTACGCCAGGCGTCGGCTTCACAACGAAAATTGTGAAAAACCCTAAATTTTCGGCACTTTTTTCAGGTTTTTAACTATAACTAGAAAACTACGGGTTTTTTAATTACAACTATGATATAACAAATTAAACTAGACAAATTTTCCTACAAGTAGATAATTACTCTAAAGTTTCGACAATCCATAACGTCGTTAGATTGTGTTGAAAAAATGGCATTTCTTGACTTTCTTCATTTCTTGTAGAAAAGTTGAAAACGGCGGCTGGGGACGTCATTTCTCTACTGTTATTCATAAATTCCATAGCAACTATTGAAACCTATTAAAATACCAGAATATTGAGTTTTGTGGCCTGTCAATCATTTCTGGTAAATCGTATTTAAAATCGTGTATCATAATATGTGACGGATCGTTAGATGATGGCACTGAGATGACTGTGGTGAAGGAAAAGGGATTGGATAGTTTTATTGTATAGCAAGTAGAGGTCGAGATGATGGTAAAATATTTTTGTTGAATAGATGAAAGATTGTTAAAAAAGTTGAGGTACACGAAAAATGTAGGAAAACATACACTAATGAAAAAATGGTTAATGCTGCCAATACAAGGAATACAAAAATAGTAATTTATCTGCACTTCGTTCAAATTTTCCTCAATTTTCATTTAAAACCCACTGCTTTATATGTGGGGAGGAAGCGTCACCAGATTATTTTAACAAACAAATTAAAAACTACAACGCCGCAATCTTGTGTATCCTGTGACTCAATATTCTGTAGGAAAAAACATAGCAAGGCTGTTGAAAGTTCGAAATGATGAAGCTGGAAATGCTATTTTACATCGTATACTTTCAGTGCATAGTTTGCTCAATACCATTTTTTATGCACGAAAGAGCTATACCTTTCCAAACGCTGAACAAAAACACAAGGTAGACCTAGAAGTGATGTGGATGGATATCTTAAAATCAGTTCTGAATAATGCCAGTTTACCATCGACGAACTAGTAAATGAGATTGAAGGTGACTGTTGTCCTCACCCAAAATATACCTATTTATAACAGCTAATATTATGCCTTATCAATATAAGGCCTTTGAAACATACAATATGTTTCAAAGGTCAGGTCACTAAATTATTACTGAGAGGTTGTCAGAGAAGGAAGAGGGAATAGGGATTGTTGAAACAGCAGCTGCTATTATTGTTGAAGATGCACGCTCTCAAGTGTACAATTTGATACAGAACCCTCCACCCAGATGCCTTTATAGATAATTTTGACGATCTAATCCCAGAATCTCTCCGAGTCTTTCCAGATGCTGTAGTAATGATAATGACTGTAGGTAACAGTGGTGAGTTCGTATTCAAACATTGGTTGATGTTGATGTCCCCTCCATAGTATTCTCTGGAATTGTTGATCGTCTGGATGAATCCAGATCTGCCTGTAGGTACATTTTTTCTATGTCTGCGCAGAACACAACCTCGTGCTTTCTCCAACGAAGAAGTATGTCGGCGATGTTTTGTTGCAGTCTATAGGGCCGACATGCATGATGTCATTATAAGGCTGATGCTGGTAGAGCTTTTGCACGATGCGTCGAAAACGACCCTCAGTCATGTTGTGTGCTCTGATGACTGCTTGATGGGGGATGTAATATCTCCCTTGGTTCATTTCATGTCGAGTAACTTTCCTCATGTGATCCAACTCTAGGTATTCTTTCATGAATGCTGAATATTATTCTTGTACACTGGGATCTTGATGTAACTTTTTTTCGATGTTCGTGAATTTTGCGGCGGCTCTTGGTTTAGAGTGACCTAATACATCTGCTGACTGTTTGAATTGGATTCTAACTACGAATCTACGTCGGAATCTCAAGTTGTGGTTTTCTCGTAAATCTTTTCGCATGCTTGCTCTTCTTCTGTTAGTTGGTGCGCTTGGGCTATTACTTCAATTTTCCAGAACTTGGTTAGCTGTCTTTCTTCTTCATAGTGAGTGATCATACTGTCAACTTGAATAGCAGGGGATCCGGATGTTATTGGGCCGGAAACGATCCAACCTCCTAACTCTGTATTTTGTTTCAGCAGGCCTTCTGTAGTTTTTTGCATGCCTTTCAAAATGATACTGGCATATTCATTGGCGCCTAATATACTATCTATTGCTGGTCCTAATTCTCGAAACCGGAGAACAGCGTTCACATGAGAACGAATGTTCTGTCTTTGTCAGTGTTATGGAAATATGAATATGAGCGACGAAGACAGAACCTTCGTTCCCTGGAGAACGCTGCTCTCCTGTTTCGAGAATAAGGACCCTAATGTCATGAATGTTCGATCGGCTAGATCATTTTTCTAACGGTCTATACTGTTTATGTGTAGGTGTCGCTTTGGCATGCATTAAGTGAGTTTCGGAAGGAGAATCATGTTGACATCTATGGAAAATGGGCTCATAAATCGCGGTTTGATCTGTGCTTCAATGGACCATTTAGAGACTTTTGGTCCCCGTCACCAATTCCTGAGATTTGTGCTCTCATGTGTGTTGTGGCAATCCCAGTCGATTTGCAGCTTCTTCAGTAATAATGGATATATGTGACCCTTGGTCAATAAGAATCCTCAGGACTTGAGGGGAATTTGATGTGCTTACTTCTACTAGTGCTGCAGTGAGTAAAACGTTTTCTTCATTTCTACTGGCGTGGTTAGACATGGCGCCTCCCGATGGATAATGTTCAGCTCTTCTTGATGGTGGGTGTCGTTGAGAATTTCGCGGTGGAATTCCTTTGAATTTCTGGCAGTGGTACGTCATACACATGTTGGTCTTGGCAAAACAGACAGCTTGAGGTATTGTATTTTTTCTCAGGGTTTGGCTTGCGTTCTGATCCTGGGATAGTTTCTAGTGACTGGAATCTTCTTTCCAAGAATTTCATGAATTCTCTCAACTCTGGAACATCGGGAGGCTTCACAAGACTTTGCTCATATAGGCGGTTAGTTTCAGAGTCCCACTTTCTGATTGTCATTCGGATTTTTATGAACCCCGGCCCCAGGTGTCCAAAGTTGACTAGTCTAGATATTTTACTGCTTGTAGACACTCGCTGGTGACGTCATGCAGCTGCTTTAGTATCTCGGCGTTCTCCCTTTGGATTTCTGGTAGGTCTAGTAGCTTGTCTAGGAGATTAAATATTACAAGCCTTTTGTTTTCGTACCGCTTTTGAAGTAGATCCCATGCTGAATCGTAGTTGAATAAAATTGCTTCTAAGTGTTGGATTAGTTTGCTTGCTTCTTCCCTGGTACCTATTTGTATTTAGGTAGTTGTTGTGTCTGTTTACCTGTTCCATTTTGCATAGAATCGTAACCAGTAATTGACGTGTCTCGCAGAAATAGAAAAAGAGAGCTTAATTGTAACAAATACAAGTTAGAAAGTAATCAAAAATGACATGCGCGCGCAACTCGTGGCTGCAGTGTAGCCAGATTGTATTGTTGCAGAACAAATGTAGACAATACAAATCCAACATTATAACATTAAAGAAGTAATATATTGTCAAATGTTTTACAACGTCTTGAATCAGACAAAAGAAGAGCTTTAAAGTGTATGTTAACATCTATGGCACTTTTATTTTGATAAATATTTCATCCGGCAACATCGCACACTGAAATTGCAAAGGAATATGTCAAGTATAATCTAACATAACCTTAAACGATACTGCGATAAGTTCAAGTAATACGTGAAGTATTAGTTTGCTTTTTGTCGAATTACACGTTACAAAGAAAGAAGGAACGATTAATTCTGAACTCGTCCCTGAATACGAATATGACGCAAGCCCGTAACAAAGTCGATTTTCATTGGACGCTCACCTGCAACCCACGAGTTGCGCGCGCACACCAGGTATTACGAGACACGTCAATTAAAGTACGGGTATTTATTAAGGTTTTGCGGGGATGATTATTCTAAGTGTCTATCATAGAGAAATATATACTACTATTATATTTCTCTATGGTGTCTATTTAGGACGTTATGTCATTATGATTGTCATAGAATATAGATTTTCAATGAAAGTATTTATCCAAACTCTGCATTTGTTAGTATATAACTAACAATTGGCGACGAGGATTTTAAGAACCAACAGTGCCAAGAAGACGTACAAATGTGGTGAGTGAAGAACCATCATTACAGCTTACTGCCACCTCATCCACTCTACATACAACTGCGCATTCAGTACATACACTTTTCTCCATTGAAAATTTTGATTCATCAAAGAAATTTGATCGGTGGTTAATGAGGTTAGAAAGTGCATTTACGATTTTTGAAGTTCCTGCTATTAAAAAATGCGCTTATTACATGGGACCAAATGCCTACGATATGCTGTGCGATAAAATTTCTCCAAAAAAACCTGATTTGTTAGATATGAAGAAACAGTGGAAATAATGCAGTTACACTACAATCCTGAACCATTAGAGATTGCCGTAATCTTCAGATTTTTACAACGAAAACAGCATAACGGGAAGACTCTTCACGAATATGTTACTGTTTTGCGAAAATTAGCAGCAACGTGTAAATTCGAAAACTACCATGAAAAAGCAATAAGAAATCAATTTGTGTTTGGATTGAGTTCAGAAAATATTCAAAGTCGGTTACTGGAAATCAAGGATCTTTAGAAAAAGCTATTGAAGTTGCTACAAGTGTTGAGATGTCAACTCGAGATGCTGCCCAACTCCATGGTGGGAGAGTAAATTACAATATGAACCAACTTAAGTTACCAGAGAAGAAGAATATCACGACAGATAATCAGGCCTATGATGTATCCTGTCCTGTTATTTTAACGGCGGTGTTAAGGCTCAACATCTATTTCCGTCTCTATTTTGACGTATAGAATAAACAGCAACAGATTATTTAACGCTGCTGTTAAGATAACAGAAAATGATACATCATAGGCCTGAATATCTCCCAAGAATATGTTTCTCAGCAAAATTTTAATAAAAATTCTTTTAAATGTTTTAGGTGCGGTTCAAATGCGCACTTAGCAAACAGATGCAATAAAAAAGGCTTATTCTGTAATTTTTGTAAAAATGAGGGACATCTCAGCAAGGTTTGTATGAAATGACAAAATACAAGCAATGTTCATGTTAATCAAGTAGAAGTGGAAGAAATTCTCTCATTAGAACATAGTGAATATCGAAAGAAATTCATGATCTTGTTGCAAATTAATGATATTAATTTAGAAATAGAAGCTGATAGTGGCGCAGCTGTAAGTATTATGAGTCATACTAT